AATGGAATTAATGTAGTAGCTTTTATGTATTATATTTATTTTACCTTTTCTACCTTCTTTTTAGGCTTTTATATTGATAGTAATGAATTTTAAATGTACCTTCCTAAAAGTGATTATAATGCCGCAGTAGAACGTAATGAAAATCTGATTATGACAAGCAGTAAAATTAATATATTGGCTTTTGTATTTACATTTATTTAACCATTTTTACCTTGTCATGAATTCTTTTAGACTTTTATTTTGATAGTTATGAAGAATTCCAAACGTATCTTTCTAAAAGTGTTGTGGAAAGTGATGATAATGCCGAAGTAGAATGCAACAATAATTCTCCAGTAGAATGTAATGTTAACTTTGCAGAAGAATATGTTGAAAACTTCACGGAATTTGTTGTTGACCAAAATTTTTATGCAGAATCAATACAAGAAAGTACAGGATCATCAGATACTATTCATAAAAATACTATTAATATTAACGTTGGAGACACTTTTTATTCTTGGGAAATTGCGGAAACTCATCTTAATCAATATGCAAGGTTTGCTAGATTTTTTATATGTTGTAAATGAGTTGAGATTGATAATGATGGAGTTGTTCGTCGACAAACATTTGAGTGTAGTTTTTCAAGAGTGTCAATTCCAAATCAAGTAATTGATCCAATACAACAATGTCAACGGCCATCTAGAAAAATTGGGTGCTCATAGCACATAAACTTAACAATGCTTAAAGCTTTTTCAGAAGTAGGAATTACAAGTATCATTAGGCAGTATAATCATCCTATGGTATCTGATTTAGCTTTGCATACACCCAAATACCGCAGACTATCAAATGAAATAATGGAGCAAATTAAGTTTTATGTCACCAAGAGGAACATGGAATCAAAACAAATATATCCCTTGCTATCTGCAAGTTTCCCAAATCAAATAATATGCAAGCGAGATCTTTATAATACAATTCAGAAATTTAAGGCCCCTTTTGTAAAATGTCAAGGAGATGCTCAGCATATAGTTAATAAGTTAATTGATTTGCAAAAAAAGGAAGCAGGCTGGGTAATTAAAACAAGGCTTGACCCATTCGATAATCAACTTGCAGGGTTGTTTTGGGTGTCTCCTGCTCAACAACAATATCTAATACAATAGAATGATATTGTGCAAATGGATAATACATATCAAACCAACTGGTTCAACATGTATTTAACTCTTCTGGTCATCATTGATAATAATACTAAAACTCAACTTGCTACTCAATGCTTATTAGATAATGAAACAACTGAAAGTTACAAGTAGTTTCTCAATTGTGTCCTTGAAGTAACAAATAATGTTCTCCTTACTTGTCTATTATCTGATTCAGAACCTGCTTTAATAAACACTATTGCATTAAAAAATGCCTACTACACACCACTTTCTTTGTATTTTTCATATACAAGAAAATTTACCTAAGAATTTGCAATGTAAATTGGGTAAACATTATAAAGTGTATTATAAAGAATTTTTGTAAGTTAGAAATAGTCTATTTGAGAACAATTTTCACCATCACTAGACCCGTTTATTGGAAAATTATCCTCAAGCTAAAGATTATCTTAATCATATCTTAAAACATTGTTATAAAGCGTGGGCAAAATGTTATCTAGTCAAATACTTCACAGCTAGAATTCAAAGTATGCAAAGGGTTGAAA